GCGTCGTCGTCGTCGTCATAGTTCTCGTCTTCGTTTTCGTCATCGTCGTTTTCGTCGTCGTCGTCGTCGTTTTCGTCGTCGTTTTCGTCATCCTCGTTTCCGTCGTCGTCGGCGTCGTCGTGGTCGTCGTCGTCGTGGTCGTCGTCGTCGTCGTAGGCTGCCCCTCGAGGGCCCTCGGAAGCCTTCGGAGGCGGTCGGCTGCCCCCGTCGGAGGCTGTCGGAAGCCCCCGGAGGCCCTCGGAGGCCCTCGGAGGCCCCCGGAGGCCCTCGGAGGCCCTCGGAGGCCTTCGGAGGCCCCCGGCGCGCCCGGTGCGGAGACCCAATGAGGTGGCGTACGGCAACGCTATGATACGATTCGATAGGGATGGTAGAGGTTTAGGAATTGGCCGCCGCGGCCCGAGGTGCGCCGCATGGTACGATTCGATAGGGATGGTGGAGGTTTAGGAATTGGCCGCCGCGGCCCGAGGTGCGCCGCATGGTATGATTCGATAGGGATGGTGGAGGTTTAGGAATTAGCCGCCGCGGCCCGATGTGCGCCGCTTGGTATGATTTGATAGGGAAAGTCGCAACAGATGCCGCGCGCGCCGAGGCGCATGTGCGCCGCATGGTATTTTTTGCAAGGGATCGCAGAGGGCGGACAGCGCGGAGATACATCCCAGAAGAATTGGTTTACCATTTAAATTAATAATGCTTTAGGTTGTTTAGGGTTTAGGGCCTGCATTGGCGCAAGCGCGCGCTGGCTGCGATCCCCCCCCCATCAAGGTTGTCGGGGGGGATCGCTGCCCAAGCCGCGCGCGCCGCGGTTAGTCGCACTCCCGCCCCAGACCACCCAGAGTGAAGCCTTTTAGGGTTTAGGGTTTCTCCCCCCAACCCCCCTATCACGGGGGGCTGTCGAAGTGGCGCGCGCAGGCGATCGCCGACGCGGCCGTGGCACTGCGCATCCACTTAAGCATGCGCGCAGGGCGCGCGACGTAGGCGCGTCGGCGCGTCGCCCCGTCGAAGAGGCAGCCTTTGGCGATTTCGGCGTTGAGCTTCGCCGTTGGGCTGCCGCTGGCGCAGCATGTCCATGCGTTGCCGCCTTTGCCTTCGGCGCTGGGTTGTGACACTGGGCTGTGAATGCTGGGATGCGCGCGTGCGGCCGCGGCCGTAGCAATGCGCGCCGATGCGAGCACGCGCGCAGGGTGCATGGCGCTGGCGCGTCAGGTCGCCTCGTCGATGAGGCAGCCGTTTGCACCTTCGGCGTGGAGCTTCGCCGGTGGGCTGCCGCTGGCGCAGCAGTTCCACAGGGGTCCGGCATTTTCCTTCGGCATTGGAAAGCAGCACTGCGAAGGCGCTGGCGCGGCAATCCCATGGTTTCCCGCGGGCCTCGAGCGAGTGGCTGCGCCGTCGGGCTCCTCGCTGACGGCGACGCGCACGGCAGTTGCATTCGCCCGCGGCTTTGGGTTTCGCCTTTGGGGTCGCCCCCCCGCTGAAGCGATTGCAATCTTCGACGCAGCCGCCTTCGGCGCGAGCTTCGGACGGCTGGAGGGGGAGCGCGAGGGGGTGGGTCTGGCACCCCCTCGCTACGATGCGCGCGCATGGCTGCGGCAGCACCTCCATGGCAGAGCCCGTGGAATGCCTTGGGGGGGCCCTCTGGCAGCGGTGGGAGAGCGCCTGAAGCTTCCCCAAAGAGCCTTGGAACCTTCTGGAACCGCCTGGGCACGCTTGGGAGCGCGCGGGAGCGCCGCGTGGCGCCTTGGAGCGCTTGTGGGTGCTTAAGAGCGCGTGGGAATGCTTGGGCGCCTGGGGGCACCTGGGAACGCCGGGGAGCGTTTAGGAGCGCTTCGGGGTTGTGGCAGCGCTGGGAACGCTGGGGAGCGCCTGCGAACGCCTGGGAGCGCGCCAGGAGCGTGCCGGGAGCGCTTGGGAACGCATGCGAGCGCCGGGGAGCGCTTGGGGGCGTGCCGGGAGCTCCTGGGAGCGCCTGGGAGCGCAGCCAGCGCGCGCCTGGGAACGCGCCTGGGAGCGTGCCAGGAGCGCCCAGGAGCGCTTGGGAGCGCTTGGGAGCGCCTGGGAGCGCTTGGGAGCGCCTGGGAGCGCCTGGGAGCGTGCCGGGAGCGCCTGAAGCGCCGTGGAGCGCTTGGGAGCGTGCCGGGAGCGCCTGGGGAAGCTTGGAAGCGCATGGGGGCGCTTGGGGGCGCTTGGGAGCGCCTGGGAGCGCCTGGGAGCGCCTGGGAGCGCCTGGGAACGCTTGGGAGCGCCTGGCCTTGGGAGCGCCTGGAGCGTTTGGAAGCGCTTGGAGCGCCGCATGCTGTAATTTTATACGTTTGGAGCACCCAGAGAGCACCGCATGCTGTATTTTTCATAGGTTTGGAGCCTCAGGGGATGTAGCGACTCGCAGGGAACCCGCAGGCTGCGGCCGAGGGTTAAGGGTTCCTTTTCTGAGGAGAACACCACGGGGATGCACCGCGCGGCGTGCGAATTCCTCCTCAGCGGCTATCGCCGCTTCGTCGGTGCGGCGCACGCCGTTTAGGGTTTAGGGTTTAGGGTTTAGGCTTTAGGGTTTAGGGTTTAGGGTTTAGGGTTTAGGGTTTAGGGTTTAGGGTTTAGGGTTTAGGGTTTAGGGCTTCTGCGCAGAACCATCCTATCCCCCCCTCCTCAGGAGGTAGGGGGGGATGGATGGATGCGTTCTGTCCCACCCCATCCACCCAGAGTCATTGCTTTTAGGGTTTAGGGATCATCCCCCCTCGCTCCCCCCTATCTAGGGGGGAAGTGTTCAGGCGTCAGAGAAAGAACGTGACGTGCCTTGAGGGTTTGGTTCAGAGGAGTCGTCCTTCGCGAAAGCTACGCGCGCGGCCTGGACCCTTGCGGGTGAAGAGTCGCACGAGTAACCTTCCCCAGGAGCCGCCGCGTGGAGGCTGGACGTGGCCCCCTGGGTATCCGCGCGGCAACGGCCACTCCGTTGGCATTGAATCCGTGGGGGGTTCTACCTCGCGGACTCCGTGCGGCGGGGCGGCCAATGCTGCGCGGAAGCCCCCCTGGATCGCGAGCCTCCGCGTTGTGGTTGGAAGCTCGCCGACCAGGGCGCAGCTGTGCCTCGCCGAGACGTGCCCGTCATGCTCCCATGCCTCAGAAGGGCGAGAAGGCAAGCCTCTTGGAGTGGACAGTGCCGAAGCGGCAAACGAGGAGCACAGTGCGGGGGGAGCAAGAAGACAAGGGTGCTCGAGGAGGACGGCGTCCCCAGAGACGGACACCGTTGAGTGGGAGCGCTCCGCAGTATTCTCCGGGAGGCGAGAGCGGCTTGCAGCGGGGCGCAGAAGCATGCGTGCCAGGGGGAAGCATGCATCTCCGACGCGTCGGCGCGAGGTCCCAGAGGGAAGGCATGCGCATTGCCAACGTATCGGCTTGTCGACGCGGCAGTGAAGCCCCGAGTATTGCGAAATGCTAATGAGATGCAAGACTCGTGCACAGGAGATCGCCGAAACATCAGACACATACCTCAGCGCAGAAGTAGTAAGAGTGCGAAGGTGTGCGTGGAGGACAGCAGGTACCCGAAACCCGAAGTCGGAAACCCGAAACCAAACACCCGAAGCCCTAGACTCGAGATCCTAAACCCGAAACCCGAAACCGGAAACCGTAAACCCGAAGCTGGAACCTCCAATCTCGAAGCCCGAAGCCCGCCGGAATCTAAGGAAACGTTTTCGGGTTCCCGGGGCCGCCGGGGCTCTCATGATGTCTCTTGATTTCTCTTAGATAGATCTCTGTCGAGATGTCCTGGAAAGGGGTTCCATAGTTCACTCTGTGCCATGCAGCGAGCGACCCATCCGTGGCGGGAGGTTCCCGCGCGCAGAGGCTCCAAAATGATGTCGATGATGACAAATTCTTTTCTTCAGCGGCAGTGTGCAGAGTGCGACCATGAGGGAAGTGGTCTGTTGGCATTGCTCAGCCAGATCGAAGCGCGAGGGCCATGGAGCACCCAGGGTCATGCTAGGCACTGTTACTCGAGGCAGGCCGCCACAGATACCCTGAGTGGTTTGAGCCGATGGCTACGGACGATATGAGTGCGGTCCCGTTCGAGATACGTGCTCGCACTAGGAAATGATACCCTGTGGCTTCTGCAGAGTGACATGTCCCGTGGAATCAGCAAGCCGAGGGGGCGCTGATGCATCGTTGTGAGATCAGCGCGCGCCGGCACGTGACAAGAGTAAAAGCGCCTCTGTCTTCCACGGGGTTCCGCTGAACCTTTTCCTGGTTGCCGCCGAGCCCTAGAGAGACCTTAGTTTCAAACCCGAACATCCGAAACGCAACCCCGAAACCCGAAAACCGAAGCCCGAAACCCTAAAGCCTATGCCCGATGCCGAAGCCCGAAGCTCGAAATCCGAAGCTCGAAACTCTAAGCCAGAAACCCGAAGCCCGAAACTTTAATCCGCAAGCACCAAACCCGAAGTCAAGCCCGAAGCCCTAAGCGCTAAGCGGTAAACCCAAAACCCGAAGCCCAAAACTCCAATCTCGAACCCCGAAAGTCGAAGCCCGAAACCCTAAACCCGAAACCCCCGAAACACTAAGCCGGTGCACGGCTTGATGTGCAGTCGCGCGGCATACTGCATTGCACAAGGGAAGAGACACCACGCAGCACCGGGCAGCATGCTTTCATGCAAGAGATCGTGGGGCATGTGCACAGCGGGGACGTCCTGCGTATCTTCACAAGAGTGAATGGCTGGCCCGCAGTGCTGGCCACGCATATGCTTGTGTCTGTCGTGCATGGCAGACGTACGAGCAGTCGTCAGAGCGCCGATGCACCGCCGAAGCGCCGGGGTCGGCTTCGCTGATGACAATGTGTGTCTCCCAGAGTACTGCCATGCATCGCCGACGCATCGGACTGTGTCACTAGCGCAGGTGCATGTAGCCGTCGGTTGTTTTCGAATCGAGGCAGAGGCGCTCCGGGAACCGCGCTCTCGCCAATGGAAAACCGTTAGAGCACGCGCGTGCTGCGCATGCCTCTTCGTTTGCCGGGCAGAGTGTTAGATGGACTCCTGAGCCACCATGCTCCGCGCGCACCGCGTGCTCCACACACGGCGGACGCAGAGGCGCTGCTTGGCAGAGCTGCCTCCAGTTCTGTTTCGTCCTGGGCCCGAGTCGCGCGGAGGGCGAGCGTCACGTGCTTTGCGATCTCTCTTGCGAAGACGCCCTGCAGGGCGTTGAGTTTGAGGGAGTCCTCTCTGCGCGCGCGCTCCGCCTCCTCGGTGGCCGCGGCCACGGGGTCGGATATCGCGCCCGGATCGTCCGCCATGTCAAGTTCGCCCGTCCAGAACTGTTCGATCAGGGTGCGGTGTCCAGCCAGCAGCGCCACAGTTTCCTCGATGTGGTCCTCCGTGTGGGCCTCATCCTTCATCTCCTTGCGTATACGGTCTGAGGAGTTCCAGAAGTTGCGCAGGTGGGGCGGCACGCGGCTTTGGTCCGCGCAGAGCTTCAGCGCTCCTGCCTGTCCACGCAGGCGCGGCGGCACCATTGCCGTCACCTCTGGCACATCGAGGTCTTCCTTTTTGCGGAAGGGCACATGCCTTAGGACCCACTGGCGGAAGAACTTATCGTTGTGGCGCCAGACAGTGTCCACCGCCACGAGTTGCTCACCGCGCATGGTATACTCGTTCGCGAACTCCGTCTCCGTCAGGTGCATCTGTTCCTCTGGGCGCTCCTTCCACCGCTTCTTCAACCAACCGGCGATGGCGCCCTTGTGGGTAGTCTTCCGGAGAAACTCCAGGAAGCTCATGTCATCGTGGCGCCACTTGCTTTTCATGTACGCCTTCAGCTCCGACGTGATCTCGGACCCGCCGGGCGTTACCAGGTGTCGCAGTCCGCGGCTCTGCGTCCCCACTCCCCACTGGCGGAAGTTCGCTGATTCAGTTGCAGGACCATCTCTGGCTCGAAGGGATGGTACTCTTTCAGCACGCGCCAAGCGATGGAATGTGCGGCCGCCTTACCGTTCATCCACTCGTCGTAGTTCGCATCGCTGAATTTGGACAAGTATTTCGTGACGCACTTGAGGAGGAGTGCGTCGCCAGCCGATATCTTCCGTCCTGGTGGCACTTCAGCGCTTCCATAATGTCGGGGAAGTATGCGCGGCGGCCGGCCTCGGAGTCGCCCCGAGTGTGGTGCAGGTGCAGGCGCGACGCGTTGGCGTCGTAGGTGGAAGGCCCGTCATGAATCTCCCACATGCTGTCCCCGTCCCGGCTGTCCTGGGAGCCCTTAACGTATGCGGCCTGAGTCTCGTCTGCGGGGAGCGTCGCGCTGAGAGATTTGTCCAGCTCGATGTCCGCCACGTCTTCCAGCCAGAGCAAGCAGTGGAGGTGTGGGCGACCGCTCCCGTGGTAAATCTGAGTGGCCTGCTTCCGGGAACCATCCTGGAATTCCAGGCGCGTGAAAAAATTCACCACCGTGGTCTTCTTCTCATCGCCTGTCTTGCAGCTGAGGATGTGCTTTTTCCAGCAGCGGTCGTCGCGCTTGTTTTGCTGGTTCGCGCCCGTCAGAAGTCCGGAGACGAGTTGGGTGCACAGGTGAGATAAGTGCAGGGACTCCATCGGTGCCAGGTAAAGGCGTGCACACAGGAGCTTCTTCATGTCGTCGAGGAGGAACTCGTGGTAGGGCGCAGACATCTCCCACGGCGACATTGTAAAGAACTAGGGTTTAGGTAAGATTTAAGGTTTAAATATTTAAGGCTCCCAGGAACCCTTCCATGCTTATTCCGGCACCCCAGGGCGGTGTTCGAGCCGGACGCCCGGGCCGGCGGTCCAGGTCGGCGCTCGGAGCGATTCCGGCTCCGGCCGGCGCCGTAAAATTGAATTCCGAGGCGGCGCGGAAGAAAGGCCACTCGAAGACACATTTTCCTTTCGAAAATATTGATTTCCTGCTCCCGGCGCCCGGGAACCCTTCCGAGCCGATTCCGGCACCCGACCGGCGCTCGAGCCAGACGCCCGGGCCGGCGCCCGGGCCAGCGCCCGGGCCGGTTTCGGCGCCGGCCGGCGCCAGAAAATTAAATTCCGAGGCGGTGCCGAAAAAAAGCCTCTCCAAGACACATTTTTCTTTCAAAAATATTGATTTTCTGCTCCCGGCGCCCAGGAACCCTTCCGGGCGGATGCCGGCAGCCGATCCGGCGCTCGAGCCGGACGCCCAAGTCGGAGCCCGGGCCGGCGCCCGGGCCAGTTTCGGTGCCGGCCGGCGCCGGGAAATTTAATTCCGAGGTGGTGCCGAAAAAAGGCCACTCCAAGACACATTTTTCTTTCCAAAATATTGATTTTCTGCTCCCGGCGCCCAGGAACCCTTCCGGGCGGATTCTGGCACCCGAGCCGGCGCTGGAGCCGACCCCAAGTCGGCGCCCGGGCCGGCGCCCGGGTCGGTTTCGGCGCCGGACGGCGCCGGAAAATTGAATTCCGAGGCGGTGCCGAAAAAAAGCTTCTCCAAGACACATTTTTCTTTCAAGAATATTAATTTTCTGCTCCCGGGGCCCAGGAACCCTTCCGGGCCGATTCCGGCACCCGAGCCGGCGCTCGAAAAGACGCCCGGGTCGGCGCCCGGGCCGGCGCCCGGGCGGGTTCCGGCGCCGGCCGGCACCGGAAAATTGATTTCCGAGGCGGTGCCGAAAAAACGCCACTCCAAGACACATTTTTGTTTCAAAAATATTGATTTTCTGTTCTGTTCTCGGCGCCCGGGAACCCAGAGGCTCGAAAGTTTGAAAAAAAACAAAGAACTTTGAAAAACGTGCAAGATTCCAGGGTCGAGCATGAATAACGAAGCTGATTTACAAAGAACAGTTGTTTTTTGCCTTCGAAAACAAGGGTTCGCTTTGAAATTCGCTTGTCCGACCGATGTTATTTCGAAGAACCTTTGAAAAACGTGTTTTCGAAGTGTGATGTGTCTACAAAGTAATAGCCCACGCGCTTTGTCACTCCCTACGGGAGTCAGCGTATTTTAACTCTAAGACCCCTGCGGCAGTGTATAGTATACTTGGGATGTGTGACGTTGGAGGTTCGCGCAGATTGAATGCCTCATGTTGCCCTGTCCGTCTTGCTACTCCTGCTCAGTCTCCCTTGTCCCCTTTTGTCTTTCAGAAGCATCGGTGCGTTAGGGCGATCGTCTTGGTCTGTTATTCCTCGTCGCCACTGCTCGAGGGGTCGCCCATTGCTCACTCAACGGACAGCCCGATGAACTTGTAGCTCTGGAGCCGTTGGAAATAAGTACCCTGCTCGCTTGAGGCCCTGGAAGTCCTTAGGCGGATAAGGTCTTGGAAGCTCCTCAGGCGGCTGGCTCCTCGATGTCTCCCCCTGTTGTCCGTGGTCTTGATTGGGATGTACCGAGCGCACTCCTTGTTAGAACATTCGGGGGGAGCACTGCGAGATCTCAGCCAGGAGAGCCCAACCGTATTTGTTCAAGCCATTTTGGCTCAGCAGGCTTTGTCGAAACATGCCGTGTAGCAAAAGTGTAACGATACCTCCAGACAAAGTGAAGCAGCTGCTCGATGAGCGTGTTTCTCTCTCTTCATGCAAGCCCAAGGTTTTGTTCAGACCTAAGAGCGTTAACAAGGCTGGAAACACCAGCGATTGGAGTACAATCAATAAGCATCGTATTCTTCTCAGCGAAGTGCTGGATTTAACAAGTGGCCGTCAGATTCATCAGAACAGTTTTGCCAAACAATTGGAAAAATGGCTTTCAGAACACGGGATGCAATGGTCATATCGGGACGTTGAGGATTCATCCGAGGGGCTTCGAATCATGATCCGAACGTTGAAAGCAAAAAAACGAGATCCAGCAGGTGGGCTACCTCCGAGATCCTACCAGCAACTTCAGACTCTGATGGATAAGGTTCGTGTAGACAACGATGCCCCGACTCGAGATGACGATCAGAGCGACAGCGATTCTGTAGAGGTTCTTCCACCCAAGAAGCGTGCGTTGGTTCCCACGCTTTCTATTTCGAGCGAGGACGTGCCGCCCAAACTCATTAAACATGAAAAGGATGCTGGTATCGACTTCGACGTGCTGAGCGCGTCTCTGTGGCCTAGCAGTTCGAAGGGGTCCGAGTCCGTGGATGCTATCGTCGATGGCTTGGTGGTGCCGAACGTCGTCGGCCCGACAATGAACAATTACAAGTCCATGAACCGTGAGCTGAAAGGGGAACCTGCGGCTGCATATAAGCGGCCTGCGGCCGCGGCTAAGCGGCCTGCTGCTGCAGTACCTGGTCCCCCTCATTCTCCTGATCCTTCTTCTGGTCCAGAGGGTGCTGCAGCGGTGGTGGATCTGCTGAAGGATTATCTCCCTTGGGATGGCTCGGACCCCCCGCTCCAGGTCATGAAAAAGCGTGTGCACAGCAAGGGCTTTCACTCGGAGAGAGATCGTGTGATCAAGAGTGGCGTCACGAACAAAGATGAAATCAGTAGGAGGGCGTCTGCGGCTGGCCAGGCCTTGTTGAAGCAATGGCTGACTCGCGTTGGCATGTAGGGACTGTCGCGTCAGAGCCACGGCTGTCAGGGAGGGTAAAGGAGGAGGAGGCTGAGGAGGAAGTGGAGGAGGAGGAGGAGGAGGAGGAGGAGGGGAGGAGGCTGGGAAGGAATAAGTTTTTTCTTCAATTCAAGCTCGAGCCAAGGCAGAACGCGGGGAGGAGGAAGAGGAGGAGGAGGATGAGGAGGAGGATGAGGAGGAGGATGAGGAGGAGGACCAGCAGGAGTAAGAAGGGTCAAGAGGATAATGATGAGGAGGAGGAGGAGCAGGATAGAGGAGCGGAGGGGGGACTGAGAAGGAGAAGAGGGAGAGGAAGAAGAAGCTCAGGACGACGAGACGGAAAGGAGGAAGATTAAGAGAAGTGCGACGACTCCCCCCCCCTCTGCGTCTTCCACTTCATCTCCTCTCCCGTCTCCCGCTTGCTGTTCTGTGTCTGTAGCTCGGCGGTGAACTAATTTTCCGCTCTCTGTCGGCCACCGCACGTATCCAGAGCCCGTTGAGATCTTGCTGGCATTTTCTATGCAGTGGCTGCAGGTCTTTGACAGCGACAAGTTTCGTGAAAGGACGGACCCAAAAAGCCCACGAGTGTTCCCTGCTTCCGGAACCCAGAAAGACCTCCATAAGGCCTCCACCCGTTGGTGCCATCACAATATCCACGGCATCGCATCCGTCAAAATCTCCAGCGACATCAACCATCAACAACATTAACATTGCCAGCAATACCGTCACTATTCGTAGACGTCATCGCAATCTGCACGACCGACATCAACATCGACACCATCCATGCGTGAGTGGTTGTGCCATAGGTTTCGCCCTCTGCCGCCGAGAACGACGCGCTATGCTGACGTCTTTCAAATGTATGCAAAACGCACCACGTCATGGAACAGTCAACCAGTAACGTGAGCAGCGTGCGAAACCACGAAACCAACAAACGACAAACAAGAAACCGAAACGGCCACCGTTTCCGTAGCTATCTGGGCTCTTGCACGCGTCCAGATTGAAGGCACCACGGACTTTCGCATTTCTCTCATTTGATGTCTCGGCGACGGCAGGAGTTTACGCCATTTCAGGGTCGAGGGTTCAAGCTTGATGGAGTTAGCAGGGTGAGAGCTCCACAGCCTGCTCGTGATCCCGAACATGTCGTTGAGGTGGCCGACTCGCCTCAACCAGTACGAATGCAACCGAGTCGCGATCCATCGAGGGAGTCCGACGGCTTGTCTGAGGCGATGGGTGAGCTTCTTGCCTTCGAGCAAACGGAGCAGATTCAGGCCGTCCAGTCGCACTCGTTCGATCATGCCATTGACCACGACATGCCTGTGGTGATGAAGGCCATCAGCAACATGAAGGTCATCGCAAGTTCGTGGTTGGCGGAGCTTCCAGAGCACAAGTGCACGCACGACCTGAGGGAACAGATCGACGAGTTCTTGATCCAGAGTGTGTCGGCCGAGAGCTACGGTGACGCTCATCACAACGGCCCGCCTGATCACCACCTTATCTCGATGAAGAACAGCCTGCTCGCGACGTTTCGCAATCTCCGAGACGATGCCGACACGTGCCTGGGCAAGAAGAAAAAGGACCTCTCAGTGCATAGCTCCTCATCGAGCAAGCGCGGGAGCAGCTCGACGCCACCAATGGCTGCCCAAAAAAAGAAAACTCGGAAGGTAGACGATGATGATTCAGACTGAACCCTCGCTTCTCTCGTTGCAGGCGCCGTTTGTGTTGATGGCTCGTGTCTTTCGCATTTAGCTGCGTGCTAGATTCAGACGAGTCAGCAGAGACTTGCCGCGGCCAGAAATTCAAGCACTGGCGCCAGACGGTCTCCGCTATTCCCATCGCCAATAACATCAACAATCACGCATTCACAGAGTAGTAGTAGGAGTGACCCAAAGGAGTAGCAGGAGTGACCCAAAGGAGTGGCCCAAAGGAGGCCCAAAGGAGGCCCAAAGGATGCCCAAAGGAGCAGGAGTAGCCCAAAGGAGGGCCAAAGGAGTGGCCCAAAGGAGTGGCCCAAAGGAGTGGCCCAAAGGAGTGGCCCAAAGGAGTGGCCCAAAGGAGTGGCCCAAAGGAGTGGCCCAAAGGAGGCCCGATT